GCTGATGAGTACCTGCTGAGTAGGAGTTGTGGTATCACCGAAGGGCATATCCAGAACTGCTAGTTTAGCCTAGAGACATCCACCAAATTGTTAAATTTACTGAGCATTCAACAACAGCGTCATACATTACCATGGTTTCCAGTGGATAGTTTACTGCTGGAACCCGACCGTCGAACGCAAAGTGGAGGTTTGAACCGAAACTCAAGTCTGCGTAGTAAGGAGAAGTACGAACCATAATTTAGTACAGAACGGTTTGAGACCGAACGAAGAACTACCATGTCGAATAATAGAGAAGATCCCTTTGAAGACGGCGTCTAACTCTGCATTGAGTGCAGTAGTGCTTATTGAGCCTCCATCTCGGCGTCGCCATTGATTAAGTTTTGCGGCTGGATATCCAAAAAGACTCAGAACTAGGTCGTAACTTGAGCGTGTATAATACTTAGACAACGTTGGTTAGCGAACTCTGTCAAGTAGAATGAAGTCGAAAGGTATTTGTTTGTACCTGGACAACGGAATCCGGTAGATCTGCGCAGGAGAAAACTAGTGCATACAGCACTTCGTACATGTTAACGAAGCCCACGATTCCAGTCGAGTCTCCCATCCCGAACCGCGCGAATTGCAGCGACTCGCCACACAGCGAAGTCGTAGCTCCTACTGCAGCAGCCAACACACCCCGCAGGTCCAACCACTGCCTAGTTTTCGCCTCTACAGGTGTCGTAGAAGGTGAGAAGCAGCCGACGCCATCTTGGCAGTGCACATAGTGGTAAAGCGTGTTGTCTTCGCCCTCTTTCTCGGTCGTGTCTAGAAGCAGAACCTCCATTTTGACCCGATTAAGATCTGTGAAGCGGCTCTCCACGACGGCTCACGACTGTGAAGGATGGTGCTTCATGATCAAGTAGATTGGCGAAACCTCGAGGATTCATTGGCGCTAGATGTCAGTCTCGTCGAGTCGGTCTTCTACAATCTCTGCAACGTTTACAACAACCGACAGCATGACCGTGAACGGCGCCGAAGGACTCAAGATTCAGCCTCCAACAATGACGAAGATCAACGCAACCAACTTGATGATAAACTGTTTGCCAAAGCAGACGTGTTGTTGGCACTGGAAAATACAAACGGGTATCTCGAGAAGCGTCCGTGGCTGCGAGTTCTGCATACTCGACTGGCTTGTATATCGTTTGAGAAGGAAGGAGCTAGCTTACACGACTTTGTACGTTGTCGTCAACGAGACCGTACGGTGTGTCTACGTGACGTTAAACGTCGGCTTGAAGACATTTACACCGATGCTAAACTCTCGATGGAAGTTGAGGAGAATCACAAGAAGTTCGTCGCTCAAGCTCGAGCTGTGTCTCCGTGGTGTGTTCGAAATCCAAAATGGTTGCATTCTTCTCTAGCTCGACAGCTCTACGGTGTTCACGTTCTACCTCCTCGTCGTGTGACGGAGGGAGAGTTGCAAGCGCAGCGTGATTGTATCGCGAGTCACGCGCGTGCAGTTGTCGGTGCTGCTGTGGGTGTTGTTATGGACAAGATACTAGCGCCTTATCTAACTCGTCCTAAGACAACTGGGAGACGCACGGGTCGACGCCATGCTGTGGATTCTGCAAGAGCGAGTCCAAGTCAGCGCCAAGCTAAAGTCAAACGCGAACAAGTTGAACGTGACAGACAGTTGCGAGCTCTGCGATTGGACCTGCTTGCTCCCACAGCAAATTTCACTTCAAGTAATGAAGTTGAGGTTACGAAGAAGAGTAAGGAAGACATTGCTCGAGTGATGACACAGCTAGCGACGGTGGAAGCTCAAGGCGACATTCGGTTGGCACGTAAATTACTCGACCACACTATTGTTCACTCTGGGTTGCGTCGTGCAGCTGAACAAGCTAAACGGCTTGGGATAACGAGTCAACCATGGAAGGTGATCAAGCTGTGGCGCGAACTGTATCGCACATCGACGCTACAGGCGCTAGACACAGCACTTCACGGATAGACAAGATGATGGAGAGCAAAACCTTTCTCATTAAGAGTAAATACAGGTCTCAGACGCACTTGAAGCTGCTTCAAGCCTGGCTTGTGCTACAGTGAGCGCTGATTGTCCGTCCCCGGCCGTGTAGTTGACGTTCAGGTCGGTTCTCGCGAGTAGGAACTGTACGGCACGTAGCTGTCGATGTTCACACGCCACCATGAGCAGAGATCGCCCTGGTGGCCGGAACAGAGAGAGCACTGCTGTATCATCGGCGTTTGGATCGCTCTCCGCTTCTTCCACTGCGTTAACAGAGACTTCACACTCGTCCACGAAAAAGCGCATTTTGGCGACGTCGCCGCGTCTGCAGGCAGCAAAGAGTTCGCACTCGAGTTGTGGATGCAGCGCCATTGTGGTAGATCCCGCAGGCGTCACGACGGTTCGAGCTGTCGAGGCATTCGCAGCACCCGTCGACTCGGACGCCGCACCTTTCTGTCCTGCACTGTTGCTCACTACGTCGTGTAGCCATTTGTGACGGATCTCCTGGAAGCACGCGTCGTGGCAACGCAGCAATGCGACGCGCCACGCTGTGCGATCATGTACGTCTTTGATCGACACATCGGCACCGAACGCCAGTAACCGGGTGACGGCACGGAGGTTGCCTCGTGCTGCTGCGATATGCAGAGGCGTAAAGCCCACAAAGTCCTTCGCTTCCAGTGGAGCATGCGGTGCTTTAGCTAGTAGAGTCTCTAGTACTGCCATCGAGTGGTCCGCTTCTTCCTCTGGACTGCTGTACGCACGACGGTGGGCGTGTGCGTGATGACGGCTCCAAGGGAACATCGCTCCGTCCTGTACAACCTCAATGCCCACCAATAGAGCTTCGTGGATCGCTGTACGTTGCGTCCATTCGTCTCGTTCAGCACCCGTGAAAGTCTGAGGGAAGAGCTGTAGCAGTTTAGCCACGACGTTCTCCAGGCCAAGGCGTGCAGCTTCGTGCAGCAAGGTGCGTCTTCGACCAGGCACCACGTGATCTACAAACAGTCGCGACGTCATTGCAAGTATGTAGAGGGCTACTCGCTCATGGCTGTTGATAACAGCTAGAACCAACGCGGTGAAGCCCTTAGCGTTCCGTGCGTACACAAGTTCTGGTGCTTTGCTGAGTAGCCGAGGTAGGATAAGAGTCACAATTTCAAGATGTCCGAACTTCGCAGCAAGATGCAGCCCGCTGTTACCGCCTGGAACACTCGCTATAGTCACGTCCGCAGGCATAACAGCAGCGGCATCGTCGTCTACCACATCTCCTTCTTGACGTCCGATAGCCGACGGGTCAAAGCCGTCCAACAAGTCCACGACCGCATCGACGTTGCCTCGACGTGCCTGTACCAATAGATCCGCTTCCTGTACAGCTCTCTCGCGAGATGCCTCCAGTCTTCCTAGGAATCCCCGAGCGATACGAGTGACGTTCATCGCACAGATCCAACCGCGTTCATGAGCTCGCTGCAAACCTCGTCTTCGAGCCCGTTGTCTTCCTAGAAAACCCCTTGCAACGCGCTGAATTGATAGCGTGCACGCTATCCGAACTGCCAACTCTTCAGCACGACGCATCTTGGCCACATACGCGCGCTGCAGCATCCCGCGGACGAGAGTTTGCATGCCGGCCGCTCCACTGTGTCCTCGCTCCTGCATAATTCTCTCTCTTGCTTGCGCCCGAGCTTTAGATGCCAGTAATTGACACCGTATAAACGATTGTAGCTTGAACGCCGCGCTGGTTTGTCGGTGCAAACGCATAGCTCGAACTCGACATCTCGCTTGAAATCCTAGGAACAACTTCGTCATCAGCCGAGCTAGAGCTTGCCGTCGAGCCTGGTCTTGTTGTATTCGCAGTTTGGTCGTCACCCAACGAGCAGTACTCGCTCTCCATTCGTTTTGAATAATCGACGCACACCGTTGACGTTGCTCGTGACGATGGAGAGCCCGTAGTTTAGCTAGCAAACGACGAGCACCCCAGACTCGAAATGCACTCTGAATCTTCCCTGCTGCGTTGTTGTGCTTAGTCTGCATCTTTAGGCGTCGATCTTTCTCACCAAGTACGAGAGCCGTGCCTTTAGTCACTTGCAACAGGCTGCCCCGGATCCGTTTGCGAACTAGGAGCTTTTGCCTGATTCCGCGGAACTGCCGACGCAGCACGAAACCTCGTCTAACTCGCTGAATCACCAGCGCCGCCTCATACTCTCGCCGTGCTCGTTCCCGTCGAGAGCTGTGCAGTGCCATCATAAATGCGCGTTGCTCTCGAACCAGAGCGAGCGTTTGCTGTTGCTTAGTAAGGATCGCCTTCGCTGGCGCGTATGGCGGTCGAGTTTCAGATTCGCCGTTCTGGTTGTCGTCAAACTGCTTTATTCGAGTCAGAGTTTCTCTCGCACGCTCTTCAGCCCATCGAGAGGCATCATTAGGCATGGTAGTAGCGCAGGTTTGCTGGCCTAACGGGTCATATCTTGGCAGTGGTAAAGCTGTTGTAACCACGGACACGACTGTGCTGTACGTGCATCGCCGCGTGCCGAAGTAGAGACTCGGAGTAAGACTCAAACCCTGTTTTACAGTCACGATCTGCGCCTGACGAAGCTCTTCTCGAGCTTGTAGCCACGCCTGCTTCTGCCTAGACAGGGACATACCCACCATTCCGGCGACGGATCCGAGAGGCTTAAACCGGAACGGCGGTTCGCGTCGCACGTGACGATCAACTGGACTGGTCACCGACGTAACGTCCTGTCGCTCCTGTGTAGCATTGCACGGCTAAATGTCATCCGTAGATGAAGCTGCAGTGCCGGTGGATATCCTGAAACAAGAGCTGCCTCTCAATGACTCCCGTACTGAGCTTGTGGAGCCTGTGATTGAGACGGAACAACACGACGAGGAACCGCTGGATGAATTCGAGTTAGCACTACATAAAGTACTAGGAACAAGGCGCTTTGAAGGACTGGACGATTTGCGGAATACATTTCTAGCTACGACACAGCTCACAACATCGAATGTCGTCTCGACGGTTGTCACGGCGCTAGCAGTTCGAGGAACTCGCCGTAAACGCAGCAAGTTGTCAACACCCCCGGTGGCAGCTCCAAGTAGTAACCAGGAAACACGTGAGACCGTGTATGGTGCTCCGAAGTCTTTATCTGCACGGTCTAATAAGACTCGGCGAGGGACGTCACCACACCAGGCACAGCTACCAACATTTCGACGAAGCTTACCTGCACTCTCTATTCCTACGAAGCGATTACACCGTGAATTATTACTTGAACGACAAGCGTTTATGGCTCAATTAACACGTGAACGAGAGGAGAAGGCACAACTGGAGTGCTGGGCAGCGACGCGTATCCAGGCCTGCTTTCGTGGATTCCGTAGTCGTCCACGGGTAGTTGCGTATGCTCGACGGATGAAGAAGTTTGCAATGCGGACTGCCTCCAGCATTCGACTCGATGTAAGTGCGTGCGAGCCTCTTGACTCTCAGCATCTATAACTAACCGCTTGTTACATTCCATGGTGCTAGCTCGCTGACATGCAGGAGAGTCTACGGATAAGTGGTAATCTTCCAGAAGAAAGTGAGTCTTCACTGCTTTGGAGACAAGGAGTCAAAGATCGAGCACGACGTAAACGAGGCTTCAAAAACCGGCAAGAAGAACGCCAAAGCGCAGCCATACGAATCCAGTCTTGGGTTCGAAGATTTCTTGCTAAGATCGCGTATCGGCACCTTGTCGCTCGAGCTCGTAATGAGAACCATTTGCTCGCTGTTGTCAAGATCCAAGTACAGTTCCATGCCACTTATTTCTATGCTCAATCGTGCGCTAACTCTCTTACTTGCTGCTTTAAGAGTATCTATCGAGGTTACTACCTTCGCTCGTGGATTGAACGATTGGTACCAACATTGAAACATGATGCTGCTGTACAGATCCAGGCTCTTGTTCGGTTAGTTGCTTCTTGGGTTTCATCTACTGTTGAGAGTGCTGACTACTTAGTGGTTGCATGGGCTTTACAGTGGCAGCCAAGCGCGAGAGCGTGTGTCCATGCTTCTGTTTGAGCGGAGATGTGAAGAACGGCGACGTGCAGGACTTCCCTTTCAGGTCACATTGGGAAGTCAAACATCGATACTCCACAGAAACGGCCTCAACTCTGATAGCTCTGCATCATGTCTGAGAGTTTTGTACGAGAACCGGAAGTCCCGAGCCTCACTCGAGTTCAAAACCGATAAGTGGCAGGACGAGCGGAGGTTCCTACGAATCTATGTAAGCTTACGGCGTCGGACTCTGCTTGAAGGGTTGATTTATACTAACGTTTAATTTGGTCGTGCAGAATATATCCCAGAAACTGGCGGCTCGTCGTGCTCGACTTGTACATCGTTGGAATTGGACGAAGACTGTTGTTCTGGATAAGCGGCGACAACGGCGAGTCAAGAAGGTGATCTCGGCGTGGATGGCCTCACCATCCCCCGCTAATAGGGTGAAAAGTGCCACTAGAACTGCAAAGAGTTAGCACCAGGGTAACTACCAAGTCTAAGTTATTATCCCCATCACGAGGTATCCAGCCGTAATAGAACATGATGAATGTAGAATAAATGTATCCGATGTCTCCCTTTTCTTCTACTGCCTGATACGTCTCGACCTTGGACCTTGGGAGCATCCACTTCTTCACTGCTTTGCTTGCGTTTAAAGTGGAAATAGAAGAAATAATTGCTCCCGAGGACACACTCTTGAGATTTCCCCCCGATTCAGTGCTGGAATCTCGAAGCAATTCCAGAAGAAGAGCATAAGCTGTAGTAGAAGTACACACATGGCGGCCAGTGCGACATACGAGAAGCCGAACGGGAAGGAGAAGAGATAAATGTGAAACAATGTGAAGAGACAAAAGAACAGCGGCGGGAAATACGCTTGCGAGAGTCGCGTCCGCACGCTGATGACGGAGAATGACTCGCCCACCCACATGATCGTCATGACGCCAAATGCCAGCAAACGGTCCTTGTACAGCTCGAACAAGAAGAACACCATTCCCACCTACCAACCATCAGAAATCATTAATAGCTCGTGGTATTTTAAATGATGAAGTAGGTCGCCATTTCTTACCAGAACTGGAACAAACACGAGCGATTGCGCGAAAAAAGTCATCACAAGGTTGGCGAACGAATTCTGCACTTGCTGTCGGTTGTGGAACAGCGCAGCAAATGTGATCATTCTCTTCTGGGTCTCCAGCAGCACAAAAGCTACCAACGCCGTGATAACAAAAAACAGGAACAGAATCGTGTGCAGGATCTTAAACTTCATCGCCACAAACCTCAACCACTACAGGTAACCACACACCAGTCAGCATAGAGTTCTTTTATCAACCATACGCACAACATACGTACACTTCGCGCCGACGACGCCGGGTTGAACACTCCATAGCTCATATCAATGGTAACGCGGCTGTTTTCTTTATAGAGAAACCCTCTAGCTCCAAAATGGTGAACCAACTGATTCACCAAGATTGTATCGTATCCAACCACTCCATCCCTTATTAATGTCCACAATGGCAACTGATCGAACCATCTGAGCTCAAAGCATCGCGAAGTCTTAGGCAGTAACAGCGTATCCATCTCCACGTCTGTCTGGAGAGCGTCAGCGTGTTCCAACAGCGCCAATAGACTTTTTTGAGGAGCGTAAATGAAGTTCAATCCCGGATTCAGTAGATAGCCAGAACGGGTATCAACTTCAGACGTGTTGGATGTCGAATATGACCCCACATATTTTGTGGACAGGCTCCAATTTTCCGCATCAGTGTCGGGTAGAATCTGAATTCGGAGTAAACGAAGTTGCTCGTCCTGGAGGTTGTAATGGTTTGCTGAAGGCGGTAAAAACTGCTCTAGACAGCTAATCGAGCCACGGTCGCTGATAAAACTCGAGTGAAGCATAAAACACAGCAGAAGTAGGTGCGAAGCGACTACGAACAGCAGCATCTCAATCCGTTCCCTACTCTGGAAGGAAACATAATTGAGAGACCACAGATAACGTTAGTGGGCAACATAAATGCACGCGGATAGCTTAAGAGACGGTGGAGCGTCACCGTAGCACTTAGAAGGCGCTGCGCCCAGCGGATGATCTGTACATGCAGTCGGAAGTACACCTCCTCCATGTATTCCATTTGGCTCGGCCTCTTCAAGCAACTCCACTTGTGTATACGGTGTACATGTATACATCGATTCGAGCAGTTAACTGATAGAAAGATCGGAAAGTGTAACTGGTTAAAAGTATGATCCAATTGAGTTGAAACAACGTAAGATTCATCCTCAGACGTTATGGGGGTGGAACTTGATTGGATGAAAGCAATACTTTCAGTGTGTTGAGCCGTGCATTAATGAGGTTCGTGTACTTCCACCAAGTATTGTGTACCTATCACCTGCCGTTCTGCACAAATCATCAAAGCAACTAACCAACCCAAGCAAATTGTAGGCGGCACCAAATCGGAGTTGACAAAGTCACCTCATCGGAATGCCCCGTGCTGTTATTTGTCATTCCAGTCGTACAACCTCGTACTCCCAATCGATAAGAAGGCGCACCCGTCATAAATGCGATTGCTGTGCTTGGAATCCCTTTTATCCTAACCTAAAGTGCAGCACTCCTAACCATTTATGCTTGTATCTTCCACTACAAATTGCTGCACCCGCGCACGAAAGTTGCAGGGATTTCTTCATCTATTGGTAGATGTTGGTATAATCGGAACTTGATCAAAGGGTTCGCTGATGTCGTGTGCGCCTACGACCGAGTGCGCTTACGCACCTGTTGTTGAGATTCGCAAGCACGCACAGTTTGACGGCGGCGGCGCACAGATCTGCGGGGTACTACAACGTTACCAGCCATTTCTCGAACGAGTGGAGAATGCTCCCCATCGACGACTCTCGCTGTTGTACTTCCACGCACATCTTGACGCTGATCCAGCTCCAGCGCTAGTACTGCATCTTGCGAGTCAGCTTCCGTTTTGGTTGATGACCCACCGTGCTCAACTTGATAACGTGGCTGCGGAACCTGAGGGGCGGGAGCGCTCGATTGAATACTGCTTGTTGATGCCACGCAAGTTCTTGGTGGTATAACCTGAGACAGACAAGCATCGTGTAGGTCTGCTTGGTGCCCATTAGAGACCGACGATGTGGGCTCACGACGAGCATTCTCTTCGTGAGTTTGGAGAGGGCGTTGGGTCTCTCGTTGAGCAATGGATAGATAGCGCCAAACGATTCTCCAAGGTCAGAGCCTTGTGCTGAAGCGAAAGATGCTTCGCTTGTCGTCGGCGTAGGTGAGTTGTCGGGCGTATCGTTTTCTTCGGTAGTCATTAAATAGCTCGACGGCTGTGCTGGTTCAATCGTTTCGGTGTCGGAGGCCTCATCAGCAGTAGGAAATTGTACCCGACGAACAGCCTTGGTGCGGCGTACAG